GTGTGTGTGTGTGTGTTTTTTTCAAATCAGGTTTTCATAAGAACTATTTGATTGAGATTACGTTTTACATAATTGATATTAATTACTCATTTTCGTAAACATGCATCTATTTAGTCTTATACCTATTAATTTGAATATTATAGTTTTATTATTATTTAATTATAATAATAATAATAATAATTATTATTATTACTATTATTACAACTAGAAACACTTATTTCCATAACTATTGCTATATATAATATAGATATTAATGTTATTTAATGTTTTGAAAATGCTTCTGGCCATTATGACGTATCGATGACATTCATTTGTTTATTTTAAATGGTTATTAAATTATATAAAATAATAATAATTATTATTGAATAATAATAATAATAATTACTGAATATATATATATATATATATTTATTTATATATAATATAATAAATTACTCTAAACTAATTATGCATATGTGCAAAATTTCCATTTATTATACCTGTGAAATTGAATAAATGATACTCTGAATGTAAAAATTTTTTTTAACGTGAAAATCATTTTATGAGAAACGCAAAGGTTTGATTTACGTTCAAGTTATAAATGTGACGGAGGAAATGATTTGTGGGGCTTCGGTTCTTCATCCACGGTCTAGTAGGGGGCTTCGTCCATGGATAGGATCCATCCGTTTTGGTGATGCTCACTTTTCTAAAAGAAATAACAAATCTTTAACATTTTAAATCTGAAAATCACAACTTAAATGCTACAAATTCTTCAAACAAAATGATAGGCGTAGCCAGGGGGGTTTTGAGGTTTAAACCTTCCCCCCCCCCCCGAAAAACGTTGGCGAATTGTAAAGCCGACAGGTTTTTAAACAGTTTAACCACTAAATAAAGATATCTGTACTAGTTTGGCCTTATCTGCGAAATGAACTCAAATGACAATTGTTTTTGTTAATTTCAATGAACAAAGAGATGACAAGATTTAAAACGAGTTAAAAAGAAGTGAGAACTAGAAGACGATCGTAATCATGGCGCGTTTAGGTTCAATTATTATATCTAAAAAGTACTTAGGAAATAATTTAAAATAGAAGTACTAATGTATCATTTAAGGCTTTTTTCTAATCCAGCATATAGTTTTAAATATGTTCAATAATTATAAAAGTGGAATTTAATTGGAATTGTTTTTTAATTAGTATTTAAAGCAAGACAAAATGATACTGTTCAATTCAATTTAACTCGTGTTAAACACTCTTTTGCCAAATCTGCTTTTGCTTTTTCTGGTCCTTTTCTCTGGAACTCTCTACCTACTTCTTTGACTACTTCTCCATCACTTGGAAAGTTCAGAGCGGATCTCAAGACCCATCTGTTTTCAAAATTCATTGAGGAGCGCTGTTGAACATCGCGGAAATAGCGCTTTATAAGCTAATTGATTGATTGATTGAATTCTCTATAGTAGTCTTCATATACATAGAACTAACTAAAATTTCTCATGTCTTACTTTAACGTTAATGTTTCTTTGGATTTTCCACATTTGTTTCGATCCGAATTTCGCTCATCGATTACTTAGATGAGTTTGAAATTCAAATTGAATAAATTTAAAAAGAAATAACAAATATTTTAGAAATTGTTGTGGATCTACGTTATTATGAATAGAGGTAAGTTTTTGTGTTCAGATCGTCTAGAATGTAATTAGGAAAAATTGTAGAATTTAAATTAAAAAGACAAGAAATAGAGGACTTGCTTTCTTGTGTTCTGGTCACTTGTCACATATGACATACAACATGCCATTTGTAGAAAGGGTGAAAAAATTAGGTATAATCCGTGAAATTAGATGTGGTTCTTATAGACAGAGGGAAGTAGAAATTTTAGGGAGCATAGGAATAAATAATTCTTCAGTCAGGAGAGGTATTCCTATGGGTATTGGGAAGGATGACCCAAACCAAAGTCCAATGAAAACAAAATTCAAACTTTTGAGTGTTAAATTAAAATTAAATGGTTAATTAAATCCTGACCTGAAGGAAGGAAGGAAGAATGGAGATTGAAAAATCTACAATGAATTTTTAGAATTATGATTCAATTTTAATTTATATTATATTCATGATAGAAAAATTAAGTTATGATTATGGTTGCTAAAATAAAAATATGAAGTTGTTATGTATATATATATATATTTGTAATAATGTCGTAATTAAATAATATTTAATTTACAATTTTATTAATAAAATAAAATAGATTGACAATATAAATTAATTATTAAATATAATAAATTAAAATTAAATATTAAACAAATAGATATCGACACGGATGTGTCTGATTCTTCTGATTCAGAAAATGACAGTTCTCCAGATGAATCAACGAAAGACGTAAGATGGATAATTAAAAATAATTTGTTTCAGTTTCTCAATTTATTTTTATTTGCCAATTTTTTTGTCTATGGTTGATTTGGTTATTTTACAGTTAATAAGTGAAAATTCACTAAGACTTTCAACTTTTTGCAATCTTTGATGATTAAAGATTGCTGTTCAATTAAATTAGAATTTAGATTAAAGTTTAATCAAATTAAAAATGTTTCTATACTCGTTGGAACCCTCATTTAAATTTATTAAATTTTTCATTTTGCAGCTAAAATTACAGAAAGGTCAGTTTTAGCTACTCTTTTTAATAGTTACTTATTGTGTATATATATATATATATATAGATATATATCATATAATATAATACATTTGTGTCTAATACTACACACATTATAAGATAAAAACTGGGCATAAGATTAATTTAGAGATAAAAGTTCTCTAAATAGCTGGTAATATCTTGATTCGGCCCGTAGGGGCCTGGTTTATAATGAAATAATGAAAGAAAATCCCTAAATATCATAGGCATTGTGCTTGAGATGGGTAATTTTTCTATTTCTGTATGTCTGTTTATGTACAATGATCCTGATACCTCTGAAGCAAGTGTAGTTAGAATATGAATGACCTTTTTCAAACTTTTGACCTTTAACCTCTGGATATTCTCTTTGATTAATTTATTCTATGATTCTAATTTTTAATAATTTTCTTTGTGTTTTTTTTTTCAAATGTTAAGTCCTGAAAAATAATTATTTTCATCAGACCTGTCGTCTGTAAACTTCAGTGATCTGTTGAAGTTGAAATCCAAATTAGGAACGAAAGTGTGAGTAAGATGATTTTGTCATATAATAATATTTATAGAAAATATATTTAAATAATTATTTTGAAACTAAATAACACTTTTCTTTATTACATCTCATCACATTAAATTAAATAACACTTTTCTTTATTACATTAAATTGCATTACATTATGTTACATTACATCACATTACATTACATCACATTACATTACATCAATCTGTTCTTTACTACTTGCTACATACAGATTTTATGCTACTGCCTTCAGTAACGACGACAAAACACCATCGCTGAAGAAGGTATATAGCGATAAATTAAAGAGAAGTAAAAATAGGTTTGGACATTTTTTATTCAATTTATTTTTCTTCATTCAATTTATTTTTTGGTTCAACTGATTAGTTTGCTAATTAATTAACTAATTAATTAATTAATTAGTTTCTTAACTACGATTAATTCAGATTTTCTCCACCACTATGTGAATTAATCCTATATAAATCTAATAAATTGTCAATTGTTTCTTTTGTTTACTTTATTAAAATCTTTTTTTTCATGTTTTCAATATAATTATTGTATAAATAATTATTCAAATAACATTTTAAATATAATAACATGTTTAATGTAAATTATTTACACATAGGCCAGCTGAAATGTCGTCAAAAATTAAAGTAAAAAAAGTGCATGGGAGTTTGGATAGCAAGAAATTTGTGGGTTTTTCTTAGTCACACGACTTTTTAGCAATTGATAAGTTTAATTTATTTAGCGTTTTATTTAGTTTTCGATATATTTTTTTTAATGATTTAATGGTGGGATAATTTTGGATGAATTTAGAAAAAAATTTATTTAAGACGTGCTTTCAAAGTCTTTTTATTTGTTTAAACTGATTCACAGTACATCTTTGTGATGTCATATTTATGAATTTATTATTATATTTAATATATAATACTATTATTATAATTAATCAAACACCTATTTATAATAATAATAATAATAATCTTATTTTATATTAATAATAATAAAAATCTTAATTTTATATTTAGGTGCCTAGAGATCCGAGGTTCGATGACATGTGTGGCACTCTGAATAAGCACTATTTCAGACAGGCATACTCTTTCATCGGCAATATAAAAGTCAATGAGAAGCAGGCAAGATATTTTTTTACCCTCATACTAAATTTTAATTAATCATTAATTAAACAATTAATTGGATAATAAATAAATTATAAATGAGTAGCTTATATTTCTTCATTGATTTGCATTATATTTTTTTGAAAAAAAAAAAATTTATCCTCACCTGTAGAAATTAGTAAAAATGTTGAAGAAGGAGAAAGATTTAGAGAAGAAACAAAAAATTGAATCACTACTCACTAGAATGGTAAGTCATTATCATTATTATTATTATTTTTATTATTATTATTATTATTATTACTACTATTTGGTCATCATAGTCCAATGTAATACTTTTATATATCTTTTTCATTTTTTTTAATTTAATTTTTTTTAATTAATTTTTATCTATCTAATTATTTAATTCTTTATTCAGAAACAGCAAGACAACTGCGAGAAGGAATTATTGGAGAAGAGGAAAAAGATGTCGGAATTGAAGAAGGAGGAGAGGGAGAAAGTTTTGCAAGGAAAAAAGCCGTTCTACCTCAAAAAATGTAATTTTTTTTATTCTTTAAAAAATTTAAAAAATCTGAAAGACGCACTAACTGCTACAGTAGCATGCAAGGCCATAGTTTAAAAATGATAACGGAAAAAAAACATTTTTTACTTACTACTACTGGCTGAAATATTTGTAAAATTAATTTTATAATAATAGTTCAGTTTAGTTAGCGATTTTTTTTTCATCTTGGCTCAATTATTATTATTATTATTATTTGAATTTTAATTAATTTTTAAAACTTCACAACTCTTGATTGCTTTATATAGTGGGTATTTAGAGTTTATGTCAAAAAAGAGTATTTTTTAAACATTTAAACATTTAAACCTCTAACATTTAAACCTCGATTAAACTGTACACACACACACACAAACAAACACACACACAAACACACACACACACATACTCTCTCTCTTTCTTTCTCTCACACACGCACGCACGCACAGAAACACATGTCAGCAATTTACAAATTTTAACCTTGTATGGCATCTATTTTGTATCGACAGTATATATGTTTGTGTATATCCAAGCAGAGCTGCTTAAAAGCAGATACACACGCATACATGTTTAAAAAACATTGAAAGTGTACATTTGAACACACACGCTAAGGTATGCAAATGTTTATAGACAAAAGTGTACTCGTAAAATACGACGCCAAGCAATTCGTGATCGGCAGACGTAAATAAAATTAAACTGCGCACATCTCTATTATGTCAGACTGGCCGACGTGATGTTTATTACATTCTCTTCTTTGTTATCCGGTCACTAAATAGAATGGGCATCTCACACGACATTACCTCTTAGTTACTTCCTTCTTGACGAGTTTATCTCGCTAGCCTGTTTTTTACAGCAGAAAAAGTTAAATGGAGTCTGGTCTTCTTCTTATATTACACTGTTTTGATTTTTTGTGTGTTGAGTTTCTGTCTCAATGTTTGTTGTTTGTCGAAATTTCGTTCGTGCACGTGTTTGTTTTGTTTGACTGACTGACGTTTCACACCCAAGAGATCCAAAATTTTATCTTTGTTTGGTTTAGTGTTAGTGTCGACAAATTATTTATGCCTTTCATAGATTTTCTTTTGCGCTGAGAAGAAAAATGTCTACTAAACATTTTCTCTCTCTCTCTCTCTCTCGTACAAATTGATGTGACTATACTGGCCGACAAAGTGAGTCTCTGTTCTATCCTTCATTCCGTACTTCCAATTTAATACAAACTCATTCCTTCACTTCAATTCCTGTTGAGTTGTTGCGTCAGCGTGCACACTCATGCACGTATACGTACACACGCGCGTACATTCTCATACAAACATCTATATATGTTGACACAGGCACTCACGCATGCACGCCTCTACATTCTCATACAAATGTAACATGCATGTTGACCCCGGTCTAGTTTAAAACATACTGTCAGAGGCAACCTTTTTTTACATGAGCTATCATCTTGTTAGTTGCTAACGCAAATATAACACACGCACACATACATATGTGCACATTTACACGCATAAATTTGACCCTTGAACCTCCAAATCAACAGCTGCCAAGAGGAAGTTGGAGGAAAAAGAGAAGATGAAGAAGTTAGAAGAAGGCAGTGGCAAGATGCAGAAGTACGTGAAGAGGAAAGAGAAAAAGATTCTGGCAAAGGAGAGAAAGCATCTGCCATTTTTATAACTTATTTATTGTTTTTTTTTCAATCACATTCATTACTTTTCTTTGTGATAACGCTATTCTACTTGACTACTTCGAGACCATTTTGGACTAAGTTTTTTGAAAACATTTATTTTAATTTAAAATTTTTCTTTCAAGTAAAATGTCAAGTGGTCTACTTATATTGTGTTGTTTTTTTTTGTTCCAACATTTTGGAGAGAACATTTCAAGTAGGAAAATAAACGATGGGAAGCCAAACTTGTAAAAACTCGCAAACATATTGACCTGAACGAGTTTGTACCAAACAAGACCACGCTTGCAATAATTAATTGTCGTAATCTCCGTCATTATTTATGAAGAAATTTTTTTTAATTCTTCTCATTAGGGTAGGATTAAACAAGTTGTCAACTGAGAAGAAATTTTTATTTCTTTTATTTTTTTTAAGTATTTCTTATTAATTTTTTAATATTTTTGATGAAGATTTTTTTTTTAAATATTTCCTAAGAAATATATTTTATGTATTAAAAAGTTTAAAAAATCTTCAAGACGAAAAAAAAATTTCTCCAAACGCTGTACACTGGCCATAGAAATAATTCTTCACTATTTTTCAGTTGCTCGTTGTTGTCGGCGTGCCATAATGTTGGTTCTATGTTCACCTTCACTTATCGAACCAATCTGTCATATTCGATAATTCCTATGGAAAGCCAATGACGTCGTTTATCATGTGAGTCAAAGAATAAAAATCGCCAGAAGACTAAAAATCGCATAAAAAATAAAATTTGTCCAAAGAATAAAAATCGCCAAAGATGACGCTTACGTAATTTCTTTTATTTATTTTTTTGTGAAGTACTGCGTTTTGAAAATAATTTATAGGTTTGTACGGTTGATTGGTTGGCTGGCTAGTTGCAGAATTTCTTGGCCGGCTTTCTTGTCTGACAGCTGATTGATTGACTGAATAGCTGGTTTAGTTGACCGGCTGGTTGGCCGGTTGGTTGGTTGATTGATTGATACGTTACTTGATTGAAAATTCTGACGATCGGTGGCTTGCCCAAAAAGTTGAAGTTGTTGATGTTATTGATGCTATTAAAGTATTTACGGCGCATGACGTCATCATTAATGTCGTTGTTGATGTCATTGTTGAATTTAAAACTCCTAACGCAATTGATTTTGTTTTTTTCTGGAGTTTTCAGAGTTGTTGGCGATGATGTTTATGATGATACTATCATTAATGATGACATCATTTATGTTATTGTTGTTATCATTACTCTAACTGCCATAATTTTACAAGGTTTGTTTTTAATAATTTTGCCAATAATTATAAAAATTTTATATAAAATGTTTTACTTTCACCTTTTCACAACTTGACAATAGCGAAAAATGTGCAAAAATTCTTGAAATAACTAATTGATAAGCCGAGTGCATGTATGTAAAATTAAAAAAAGTCTACAAGGAAGAATGTTAGCGAGGAAGAATGCCTTTGTTGACGTCATCAATGTTATTGTTAATGTTGATGTCATTGTTTCCGATGATAAATTTGTTGTTGTTAGTGTGATAACATCAACGGCATCAATAATTATATCGTTGCTGCATTGTTTCTTTTTTGTCATTGCTGTTTTCAATAATTTTTGGAAATGTTCCATATGATATGGTTTAAATTATTTATCATTATTGTCATTCTATATTAACGTCATTTATTGTAAGTGGTCTGTATTAATGTCACCAACATCATCAATGCGATCTATGCTGTTTTAATACAGTCTCTAGAGTAACCAACTTAACGTTTACATTGTGATGGATGGCGATGTACCAAGCTCGCTGAATGACGCACCTATACAAATGAATTGATACAACAACACTGGTGGGTTGCACAGTTTTTACACACCACACACACACAAACACGTACGTAATAACACATGCATACACAATCACACATACACACACAATCTCGTACTCACACACACACACGTACACATGCATACACAATCACACATACACACACAACCACGTACTCACACATACAACCACACACATACCAATAAACATCCGACCACATATTTTCATCATCTTTCTAGGTGCAGCAAACCCCATGCTTATTTATTGCCCACCAAACACGTTGAATGTTAAAAAATGCCAAAAAACAAACAAGCTCCATTCAATGGCACTTTTTGGCATAATTGTTCATGTTTGTTCATTTGTTTGTTTATTTGTTTGTCCATTTGTTTGTTTGTTTATTTGTTTGTTTGTGTTTAAAAGCACTCGCACATATATATGGATGTTGCATCAGTTGAAGACGCCTGGTCTTGCCTTGCACTGACTGGTTTCAAATGCAAAAAGAATCCTGCTCATTCATTACATTGTTAATGATGCACTGATAGCATTGAGTGATGCAGTAGAAAGCTGCTACAATTAGCGTGAAAACAAACACTTACATAAACGTTTCTACACACACACACACACACACCACACACACACACACACACAAACATAACTAAACAAAACATACATACACACAAAAAAACATACGGTTAATCATATAAAAAAAACAGATAAACAAACGATGCATGCACGTGAGTTGCATGTAACTTGGTTTTACTCTGCAAGTCATTTAAATATTGATTGTGAGCCAATAAAATCATCCCAACATTAAATCGAACTACACCGAAGCGTCATCGTTCAAACATCATTCCGTAATATATAAGTGTGTGTGTACTTTTACATAAGTGTGTGTGTACACTTACATAAGTGTGTGTGTACACTTACATAAGTGTGTGTGTACACTTACATAAGTGTGTGTGTACACTTACATAAGTGTGTGTGTACACTTACGTACAACCAAACACATACACACACAAACAAACACACACACACACACAAACACACAGACAAATACACACATGGAAGCGATCATTGAAACGACGAACTACTACCGGCTGCAATGGAGAGTATTCAATTCAATGATGGTCATACGCAGGGCCGCATATTCATATGGAGTTTTATGAGCGTTCACAAATTAGACTCTTAATGATAAAATTCAGGAAACCAAACTTCCATTATAAAACTTATTACTTACCGCTAACATTTATTCAATGCATTCTACTTTCCGTGTACTTTCCTCTACTTTCCATTCACATACACAGACATGCAAGTGTACATACACAGACGAACATACAAACGTAGAAGAATACGTACATACATCACATATCGTTAGCTCACACTTGCGCCGGCCGATTTTTGAATTCAATTTAAATTTTGTATTTTAACATGTTTTTAAACTCTTGTTTTATTGAACTTTTGGATTATTTTGTGTGTTATCATCCTGGGATTGAGTCTTTCACGTCATTTTGTCGCAGTTTGCCTTGGTTTTTTGTTGATTTAATTAGATTTTTCAACTTTTAATTTTTTAATTGGCATGGTTAATTCATAGCGCACAGCTGTTGCTTGTTTCGTACCTGCCTCAACTGTGCGCTGCTATATTATTATTCATAACTTACCTTTACTTTTTCCATTACCTTAGAATTTTATTATAATTTCGTATTTTAAAATTTAAATTTTAAACGTACTTAGTTCATTTAAATTTTTGTTTGTTAAAATTACTTATCTCACCAAATCACATGTATAGCCCCGGTTTTACACCAGTGCCCTGTTTGCTCCAATCACTACAAGATCACACCAGACGGGAAACTTTGCCGTCATGGTGGAAGGGTTAAAGGCCAGAAATGCTCGGGTTCGAGGAAAAAGGTGGATGCACCACAGGTTGTGACCGGTCCGCCTCACGTAGCCGCATCTAGCGATGGACTCATAATGGGTGCGTCCGTATCAGTTTCGGAGATTCCCACCAGTTTGGATTACCCCCTTTTTTTTGACAGGATGACGGCTGTTTTGAAACGCGTACCACTGCACGATCACATTCCAAAACCGTGTAGAGAAAAATGTAGCAAAGCACTGCACGAGTTACTGACGACCGTTTGTTGTGACTCCGGCGATCCCGCTCACTGGTGCAGACTTTTTTTGTTTTTTCCATACGTCCTTCAAAAACCTGCCAGAGGGGGACGCCGGGTCAACCAAGGCAACCAGATTAACAAGCGCCTGTCCGAATACTCCACGATTGAGGTTACGTCCCTGCTCTCGGGTTTTGAAAACCACATCAACGCAAATCCACGCGGCCACAACCCTGACCGGTTGATAAATGCGGTGTCTTCTTGCATAGAGCAGGGAAACGTTTCAGCAGCCGTCAGACTTGTCTGCTCGCCCGAGGGCCTGGCAAGAAACACGCCTGAAACCTTAGAAAAACTACGGTTCATACATCCAAAAACTCCAACTGACAGGCGTGCTTTTCCTGATAGCCTTGAACAAAAAAGATGGAGGAGTTAGGCCAATCGCTGTTGGTAACTGTTGGCGTAGATTGGCGAGCAAATGTGCTTTGAACCTGGTAATGGATGAAATGAGAGCCAAATTTTACCCGGTTCAATTGGGCGTTGGCGTGAAAGGAGGTGCTGAGGCCGCCGTTCACGCCGTTCGAAAATTAGTCACAGACCTCCCCAATCAATGGGGATTCCTAAAAATCGATTTTAAAAATGCCTTCAACGCCATGAGAAGAGATTCAATGCTGGAGGCCGTCAAATGTTTCTGCCCCAGAATATATAATTTCTGCCATTCTGCTTACGGCCTCGCTTCTTCGCTTGGCTATCACACCTGGGTGGTTGAATCGTCCGAGGGCGTGCAACAGGGTGATCCACTGGGACCTCTTCTATTTGCATTGACCCTGCATCCCTTGTTGGAAAAACTGTCGTCCGTTTTCATTTGTGGCTACCTGGACGACATTAGCATTGCTTCAAAAAGCCAAACACTGGCCGAAAACTGCAAATTTTTGAAAAACGAAGCCAACACCACTGGGCTAGAGTTAAACACCAATAAATGTGAACTCTATTTTAAAGATTCACTAAATTTGCCACCGGTGTTGGCGGACGTACCCATCGTTCAAAAATCAAATTTAAGTCTTTTGGGCACACCCTTGTTCGAGGGCGACTCCCAAATTAAATTTTTTGATAAAAAGTTTTCAGAACTTAAGTTCGCCCTCGACCGAGTGTCTCATCTTTCCGCCCACGACGCCCTGACTATTGTCCGAAGCGCCCTCAGTTTGCCCAAAATGATGTATTTTCTTCGTACATCCAGCTACATTAACCCATCGTTGTTGGGCAGATTTGATGATGTTTTGCGTACCGCCTTGTCAGCCATTTGCAATGTTCATTTGACTGACAGTGGCTGGTCCCAGGCTCAGCTGCCGTGGTCTGGGGTTACTCAGTGTGGTTCAGTTGGCACCAATCGTCTATAAATCTTCTGCCGTTGCCACTCTTGACCTCCAGTCCGCCTTGCTTTGCCGATTTTGTTGTTGCTGTGACATCCCACCTCTGCCGACCACACCTGAAAGCCCTTCACAAGCTCAAATTTTAGATGAGCAATATAAGAAGACTTTTCATGAACTTCTGTCTTCTGGTGTCGGTGCTTCTTCCTCCGCCCGCTTATTGGCTGCAACTAGTGATGTTAGTTGTGGTTGGTTGAGGTCGTGGCCCAACACTTCCGTAGGCACCAGACTCGATGACGAGTCTGTTAGATTTGCCGTTGGTTTCAGACTTGGCCTAAGTATACAAAATAAATATCTGTGTCGATGCGGCGCGGAGGCGGACGAATTTGGTCATCATGGTTTGGTTTGCCGTTTAGGTGGAGGCCGTCAACTTCGTCATTCAGCTTTGAATGATTACATTTGCCGGCTTTTTTCTAAAGCTTCTATTCCTGTTTTGAAGGAACCATCTGGCATTTCAGTGCAAGATGGCAAGCGACCAGACGGTTGTACTCTTACTCCCTGGAGAGCTGGTAAATGTTTGGCTTGGGATGTTACGGTTCCTGGTACCTTGGCCGAGCGCTACGTTCACCTTACCAGCAAAGAATGTGGTTTGGCTGCAATCAGGGCATCGGACAAAAAAATTAAAAAATATGAACACGCCCTGCCTTCCTTAGATTTTTTGCCAATATGTATCGAGGTCCTTGGACCCATGGACCCCAATACTTCAAAATTTATTAAAACATTGTGTAAAATGATTGGTATTCGGTCAGGTGACAACAGAGAGTTCTTTTTTGCAATAAACCACATCTCGTGTTTGTTGCAGCGATTTCTGCGTGTTTGTGTGTCGGAAAATATTAATTTAAACGCCGACGTGTGAGACTAACGATACATTAAAGTGTTAACCCTTTTAATCAGATGTTTGACTGTTTGGTGTCATTCATCACGATTTGGTTTTAACATACATACATACTTACGTAGGTACATACAAACATTCTCACACATATGGTGACGGGGGACAACATGCTTTAATGGCCAAGGACCCTTTATTTAATTTCCACCATATTAGTTTAGGACAAAATTTTCATTTTTTTTAACCGGACGCATACACACACATACACACATATATACACATGCACGCACACACACACACACACACACACATAGTATATATATATATATATATATATTATATATATACATGTATGTGTATATATGGAATGAATCGAATCTATACACGAAACATACATGTATGTATGTATATTGTAATATGCATCCTTATTTTATGAACATTTCTTTATATGTATATGGTGATAGGGAAACGTGATTCAATAACTGTTGTTGATCTGTACGTCTGTGCGCGCGCGCGCGCGTGTGTGTGTGTGTGTTCGTGTATGCTTGTTTGTTTATGTGTGTGTGAATGTATGTGTGTGTGTATTTGTGTGTGTGTGTGTGTTCGCATGTTTGTTTGTCTGTATTTTTGATTGAATATGTATGTGTCTGTTAATGCTTGTTTGTGTGTTTAGGTATGCGTGTGTGTTTGTCTCTATGTGTGTATGTATGTATTTTTGACTGTTTGTATGCCTCTCTTTTTATATTGATTTCATGGAATCAAAGTATCAATATAAGTAGGCATATATGTATTGTATATAACTTTTAAAAAATATTATATATATATATATGTTTGTGTGTGTTGGTGTTTGTATGTGAGTATGTATACACACACGCACACACATACGCACACACACACACACACACACACATATATATATATATATATATATGTATATATATATATATATATATACACACACACATACACATAGAGTACCAATATTGGGAATATTAGCACATGAATATACTGTTTTGTGAAATGGTGTTTCAGTTTTTTCCCGTATTTTAGGATGTTTTTGGAAAAATTCAATAAAAAAAAGACTAATCTGCAAGTAAAATTTGCACGTGAAACAAAATATAATTAAAATTAAATTTAAATATATTAGAATAAAATATAAAACAAATAACATTAAAATTAAATTGAAATATATTAGAATAAAAATATAAAACAAATAACATTAAAATTAAATTGAAATATATGAGAATGAATATATGAAACAAATAAAATTAAAATTAAATTGAAGTATATTAGAATGAAAATATTAAAAGTTGAAACCGTCTAAACAGATGCTACGCTCATAGTAGAAATGTTTTAATGTTATTGTATTGTAGAAAAAAAAGTTAATGTGCTGAAGGTTACTAAATATGATAACGACATTAATAAGAAAATGACATCAACGTCGAATGACGTCACGTCAGCATCGAATGACGTCAACCAAATTAATATCCACAACGCCGATAACAACAGCAATAAACTCTTCGTGACATTAACTAGCAATCTCATCGTAATGTTCTCAGCAAATAATAATAATAATAATAATAAAGATAAACAACAACAACAACTACAAAAACATCAACAGCAGCAACAACAACAATAAAAATAATAATAACATTGACGTCATCAGCGTCTCTAGTCCACAATGACAACAACCGAAACAACAAAACCGAAAAAAATTATTAAAAATATCTATAATAGTAATAATATTACTAATAATAATATTAATAATAATAATAATTAAATACCAATAATTATTATTTTTATAGTTATAATTTGAATTGCCTGCTAAAGAACAAAGTAAGACTAAATAAGTAATATTTATTTAAATTTTTTGTATATTTTTTTATAACTTATTTGCTTGTTTGGCTGGTTGGTTATTTGTATGTTTGTATGTTTGCTTGTTTTTTTGTTTGTTTGATTGTTTATTTAATTATTTATTTATAAATTTATATGAATCAAATGTCAGATTAATGATAAATTATTTATATATTCTTATATTATAGATATTTTTTTAAAATTTCATGTCGTAAAATTATTCACATTTTTATTAAAAGTTTCAAAAGTATTAACAATAGATAATACTAAATGGTAATATTAAGGTAAATAAATAAAAGAATAATAATAATAATTATTATTATCATCATAATCATCGTTGTCGTCATCATCATCGTCATCATCATCATCATCCCCATGATCACCACCAACACCGCCACCATCATCATCATCATCATCACCATCATCATTACCATCACCATCATCACCATGATCATCACCACCACCACCACCATCATCATCATCGTCGTCATCATCATCATCACATTCCTCATCATCGTCACCAGGAATTCATGAAAATTTAATTTATAACCTCTCACTGCCGTTGTTATATAAAAGCTCTTTCCTTCGTCGATTACATCATCACCATCGTCATCATCGTCGTCATCATCGTCGTCATCATCATCGGCATCATCATCATCATCATCGGCATCATCATCGTCATCATCGTCGTCGTTTAAAATGGACATCAGAGTCACAACTAGCCTATTAAAACGTGTGTTGGTTCATAACGCCACATACTTATTCAAGAAAAGTAGGTTGAGATCTTTTTGCGTTCGAACCAGGTAGATTTGTAGCGCCGAACCAAGCGCCTCTAACGATTTCACCACAACACCAGAGAGCCAAAAGTTGAGCTATTAATTTTTAAAATGCACGTTAAAATGATCATTTAAAAAAAAATATCAGTACATACATAGAAACAAAGAATATAAAATCCTCATTAAAAAATATCTTTGGTAAAACAAACATGAATAGTACTATAACTATTACTGCTACTACTACTACTACTGCTGCTGCTGCTACTTCTGTTATTTCAACTACAACAACTGCTGTCATTACTATATCTACCTTTATTATAACCATATAAATAATTTTAATTGTAATTATAGTAATAATAATAATTATAATAATAATAACAATTAATAATATTAATTGTAATTATAGTAATAATAATAATTATAACAAAAATAACGGTAATAATCAATTTGTAAATTGGAGAAAGGAAAGAGCTTAGAAAGGAGTGTTGGCTGGTTTTGTAAGTTTTGTGTGTAGGAAATTAAAAATTCTTCACAGCAAAACCATCTCATTTATGCCATGTACTTCCATTTAAATATGCATCAGACGCTCTAAAACCGCTGTTATTAACGTGTTATTCGCGTAGTCTGCCACCACCGCTACTACTACTATTACTACTACTACTACTACTACTGCTACTACTACCACTACTACTACTACTACTACTACTACTACTATTACTATTATTAATACTGCTACAACAGCTACTATTACTAATAGTAGTAGAAAATAATATAGTACTACTACTATTATTACTGCCACACAACTGCTGCATATGTATCGTTTAGCATGCGTGATATTGGTTATGTTGAGTGAATGATGATTTTTTCAGGTCAGTACATATTATTAAATGAAAACATTAGTGTAGACACACACACACACACGCACGCACATACGCACGCACACACGCACACACATATTTTGAAAAATTGGATTCAGTGTGTTTGTACAGATAAAATTCTGTATGAGTTTATTGCGTGTTCTCTGCTTGCATACTTCTTGTTTGGCTTTTTATTTCTTTTTTCCAATTTTCCAACATCGAACAAGTTTTTGTTTTTTACGTTTTGACGTGCGTGTGCGTGTGTACACTTGCGTGTACACGTGCGTGTACACGTGCGTGTGTGCGTCTTTGTTTTTATAAGTAAGTGCTAGTATTAAAGTGCCATATAATCCTAAAAGCAGATTAGAGGAATTGTTTTTTAAATTAACGAAATTACTCATTAAATGCTTTTTAACGTAAGCTTCCCCGCATGCATATTTAAACTCTTCTCACACACATACACACACACAGTCACACAAACACACACACACAGTCACACACACAAACACACACACACACACGGATAGTTGTGTATTTAAAATTTGTCAAGTAAGGAGTGTATTTATTATTCGATACAATCATTTGAAAAAAATTAGAAGAGGAAACAATGTGTAATTATTAACAATTATTCATAATTTCTCTTTATCGTCATTATCATTATTATTATCATTATTTTTATTATTATTGCTTTTATTGTCGTCATAATTATCTTTTACTCACAAATTCGGCATCAAAAATCCTTAAAAAAAGAAACAAATGATATGGGGATGACGAAAAAATTCCGAATTTTTCTTTTTCAAAATGGCGAAAAGAGAGCAGTCAGAATCACGTCCATCAACAAAAGATTCCGACAATTAAAATAGCCAGCCTGAGGCTAGAGCATTTCAAAAAAAATTAAAAAATCATCAGCATCATCATCGTCATCATTTTTCCTCTTACGTCATCATCATCATCGTCGTCATTCTCTTCATCTTAATCATCATCATTATTGTCATCATCTTCATCTTCTTCATCCTCATCATAATCATTATCATCATAATCATTTCTTCATCATCATTGTCATCATAATCATTGTCACCGTCGTCGTCATCATTCATCATCATCAACATCAACATTTCAACCATCATAACTTTTACCATCACCACCATCATCATCATCATCATCATTATAAATTATGAATTATGAACAATTATTCTAGTGTATAAAAAAAAGAATTTTGATGTAAGTAACTGAGAGCAACCAATTAAATCAAGCAATACGAAATTTATTATTCTCATTAAAACTACTACTTCTACTACTACTACTATCACTACTACTACTACTACAACAGCAAGAACAAAAACTACTACAACTACTAAAACTACTACTACTACCACTGCTACTACTACTATAAATTGTTATTATTATTATTGTAATGATGAAGACGAAATTTATTATTCTGATTAAAACTGCTACAACTATGTCTTCAACTACTACTACTACTACTACTACTACTACTACTACTACTACTACTACTACTACTACTACTACTACTACTACT